ATGAAATGTTTTTTAAAACATTTATTTGATTAAAACGTTAAATAATGTTATTTATTGACTAGTTTAGGACATTTGTAGTCATAAAATTTTAGTTGTGATTATTTTTTTAATGTAGACTGCAAGTGAAGTAAGTATAAATAAATTCTGAGACATAAGGGGGTCAAAAATATTTTTTTGGACAACTTTATATAGAATTACCCTGAGGGGACTTAGCAACTGAACATTTTTAACTCAGATCCTCATGTAAATTGTGCTACCTTTAAGTTCTCGATGAATTATTTTCCCTAAAATATTGTAGATAAGTTTCTTTACAAGTTACGTAAACACCTAAAAATAGGTTTTTGTGTTGTATTTTGTAGACAAATAGTATTTTGCTTATGATTCCATTTTATGTACAAACCCTGCGATTGTTAAATTTGATGTAGAAGTCTGAGAAAAAGAATTTATTACATAAAGCTCTCATCTAAAATCTAGAAATAGTCGTAGTGAGAGTATAACTACTAAATTCAAAAAAGCACAAATTTAGGAATAAAGAATTTTAAAACTAAGCTGCCTAAACAACAATTAATGCGATTTTTTTTCACAACCACCTCATCTCGTGATACACTTTTTTTTGATTCCCTTATTACCTCTTCCTCTCGTGATTCAATCATTCTGAGTTCTAAAGACCACTTTTTTTTAATGTGTAATTCAATACGTTTATGCAATAAAATAATACCTTCGCAACCTTATTGCATTTATCATAACTTATACCTTACTAAAAATAAAACTTTATGCAAATTTAACTAAATGGTTTTGTTATTTCATATAAAAATGTTTGAAAACGATGCTTTACCAATATTATTATCAACTAAAAACTGATAACTAAATGGTTATTCACTATTTAAGTAAAGCCTTGTTTTATAAAAAAATTAGATACTTTGTATTTATATTTCATATTGATATATTTATACATAATTGCATAATGGTTTTATAATTTAATGTTATATCTAAAAATACACCATGATTAATTTAAATTTATAGCAATAAAGTTCTATATAAATATAAATTTTAAAATATTTAATAATTGTTCAAAATATTTATAAAAGTTAATATATATTTATAAAAGTTTTTACTTATAAATATATAAAAATGTTAACAAAATTACATAAAAAAAGATTAACATGAATTGAGAAAACAAACATGTTTGTTTGCTTAGTAATTTGTTACATATAACTTATAATAATTTTATATAAAAATACATCAGTTGTCGTTATTATTATTTTCTTCCTCTTCGTACTTTCTTTCTCCTGCATGATGATCTCCTTCATATTATAACCATGACTTTATTTTGTCCTTAATAAATGTAATATTTGCTTCAAGGCACTTATTCAATTGCGCAGCAGCTGTTCAATACAAGTTAAACAATATGTACATAAATATACATTTATGTACATATTCACAAGTTATGTACATATTCAAACATTATCAAAAAATAGCATTCTAAACACTAGTTTTAATTTGATTATAAATTTACAGCAACAAAATTCTCTAATAACAAAAAATGCGCTTAAATAAAACATAGCACCATTTCAAAATGACTGAAAACTGTTACAACATTAAAACCTGTAACACACTATACGCATTTTCAAATAAGTTGTATTCAGACGTTGGTCTGACGTTGCATAGTGACCCAGATAAGGTTTAAAATGGCAAAAATTACTTAACTATTAACAACATGTACATTATGCTAATACTATACATCAAAATGTGGGTTTTTAGGGTCAAGAAATTCAAATTAGTGATTTAAAATTTTCTTTCACATGCACTAAATACCCATACAACGCGCATGTACGCGTAAAAACGCGCGTTAGAGGACTTTAATATTTGTAAATGCTATTTTCAGTAAAAAATTTAGCTTCCTTGACCCAAAATATAATATTACTTTATTACTACATAAATGGGCGCGCATGCGTTAAATACTTGCCCGCGCGTTTAACGCGCGTAAAGTTGCATAATGCACGCAGACACGCCACAAAGCTCATTATGAGTCTTTAACACAAAAAAAAAAGTACACAAATCAGTATACAAAAATAAACAAGTCAGAATATTAAAACCTCTTTACAATTTAAATTACTAACTAGTTCAATACTTCAGGAGGCAAAGTTCTTCCAGATAACTTCAGTATTTTACAAGTGAAATGTTTGAGACTTTTGAATCCAATCTAATCAAAGGGTAGTGTTTATGATCTTTCATAGTGTTAATTCTTAATACTTTTGTTGTGTGATGCAAGCTTACATTTCGGACTTACTTGTTAAGACGGTCCTGAGCTTCTTCAGAGTATTGGGCAATCGGCAAATCAAATTGATTTAAAAGGGAACAACCAAGTATCAAAATTTTGTAAACACTTAGAATCATTATATACCAAACATATGTATTAACTATAATTTTAGCTGTATCAGTACAGTAAACTTCACACTGATTACTATAGATATGGTACCCAGAGGACATAGTAATAAAGACAATCTGCATTTTCTTTATAACTTTTATATTAACACCTGTTATTTTAGAGAAAATTAAAGAATTCTCAAATGCTCTTCTCGAAGTATTTCCGTCATTGCTATTACCAAAGCCTACTTTAGGCTGGTCAACAATGAGACTCAACTTTTCTCAAAATTTGATTTAATAAAACTCTTTTTTAAATTTACAGTAAGCTTTTCTTTTTTAATTCTGACTTAAAACTTCTGGATTTCCATTTTATAACCTAAATGTAAGATGAATTTAAGAGATCTTATCCAACAGTGCAAATTTGAAAAACCTAGTTTAAATGTTTTTATATTTACAGGCTTTTTTAAAACTCAATCTATACCATTCATCTCTTTGAGCTTACAACTACACACATAGCAGGACTGAGTTGACTTTGCGTCAACATAAGTTTATAACTTTCCCTGAGTTGATTTTGTGTCAAAACGATTTTATTACTTTCCCATCAAAGATAGTCGTATCAATTTTAAAAGTAACTTTAATAACTCTAACTGTACCAGCAATATTTAAATCTATCGAGAAGGGTAACTGACTCATTTGAGTTTGAAGATCAGCTTTTCCTTCTTTGCACAACTCTGATATCTTTTATTTATATTGCAGGTAAAGAGGTCTACAAAAGTGACAGCTGAAACTTTTATAATTTTTCCAAAAATATAATGTTTTCAACTTTAAACAGAGGAGGTACAATTGCTGTGCTAAGTTGGCACATCTTCAAACTAAAAACACTTTACAGAAGAGTCAAATCTTCTTTCTTTGACTCTTCCGTAAAATTAAGAGTATTAAATTTTTGTTTGTAAATACTTTGACTTGAAGCCCAATCAAATCAAATTTTCACTTTTTAAAATTCCATTCATCTCAACTTTGTAACTTTCCCTTAAATCAATCATATCTATAATCCTAGTAATTATGATATTTAGCATAGCATTTAGCATTTAGCATGATTTAGCATTTTGCTGACATTTCAGTAAATTGAACATCATCAGAATAATATTTTAGCTATTTTTTACCAAGCTTATTAAGACTAGAATATATTTTTACATGGTGAGATTGGGCTGAGTTTCTCAACATTCGGTATTATAAATCACTTAAGTCGGTTTGCATTTTTAGAGCAAGAGGCTTCTCTAGTTTTATAGTTGTTTGAGTCAAGGAATTAATACTTCTTCTCATCTGAGCTGCATCAACACATTCAGAACTTTTTTTCATAATATAGGCTGAATCTTTTTTTCTGCTGCTTTAGCCCTTTTTGATGCAGCAAGAGACAGAGCTACATGATGTTTATAATCTTAATCTGCAATCTTTGCTCTTTAACTTCTTTCAAAAAAATCTCCCTATACCTTTATTGGTCTTCCTTGATTGGTTTAGGATAAAAAGACACACTATAATCGATGAGATTTTTCCCTTATCAATTATTTTTGTACTTTAAAAAGTTTTCATAGTTTCTACAATATTTTTTAAGCTTATTTTTCATTTTCGAAATAAAAATTTTACAATTTTATTTAGCCCACTTAGTTTATCTTTAGAAATTATTTCGGAATTTTTCATAAATTTGATAAGTATTTCTGGAAGTGCTTCGTTATTTACTTCAGATTCGCGAACTTTTAAAAATAGATCCAACCTTTTCATTTTACTTTTAAAGCTTAAATTCTTTTTTATAAATACAAAGTTTTTTTAATTTTCAAAATTAAAAGTAACTACTAGATTGTATATTATTACACAAACGTCTGAAAACAGCTTTTAAATCAAAAAGGGAGAAGCGGGTGTTGCATTTGACAAAACTATGCATGAATCTATTGAAAATATCTTCTTAAGGAGCAGGAGGTTGCAGCAAAAAATGCAGGGTTTACTTAGCTATAATTTAGTGGTTTTGTTTCACTAAAATTAAACGTGAGACAACGTGGAACTTTTTTTTAGCCTACACTCATTTTCAAACTTATTAATAAAAATTTTAATTTTTTAATGGAAATTTAAAAAGAACTTGTTTTTTTTAAATCTAAAGAAAAAAAAGTAAATAATTTTTAAATGCCTAAGCACTCATTACAACAAAAATATTAAAAACGTTTTGTGTGGAGGCGGAAAATAAGGTTGCTTACAAGATAAACTTACCTTAAATTTTTGTAATTTTATGGTGATAAATTTAACTTTTTACACATTTATTCCTTCAAAATTATACATTAATTATATCAAAAGAATTATTTAAAGTTTATTTAAGATCAAAAAGAAGTTTACTTTAACATTTAAAGTCAAAAAACGATAAAACATTTACTTTTTTTTTCGGACTTTTTGCCATTTTTAAGTTGTTCTGGGTCACTGCATTCGTTCGACGTTAGTGCGTAGTTAAAAAAAATTGACCATTGCTATTGACGTTATTTTGAATTTGGCCAACATATGCGTGCTAGCTGAGTAATGTCGAAAGTTTATACCAAACTAAATTGTTATAACTGATAAACTTTAAAATTATTAAACTATTTTGCTCGTAGGTTCTCATAAAATTAGATTTGGACTCTGTTTATGAAGTAAATAACTTTAAAGTTTATGAACTGGACAAAAGTTTGCACAATGATCAAAAGAATTTGTTTTATCTTGAAGTTGAAGTAAAGTTTTTTAATAGCAGACCATGTAAACGACGTACTCATGATTTTCGTTTGTTTGGAAGAAAACCTCAAAGTAAGTTTTTTCTATTTTATTTTGGTTTATACAATATATAAATGAATTATTAATGACTTATAGTTGGCAACGCGTAGTATGGGTTATTATCAAATAAATAATTAATAACAGTTTGACTTGATCTCTAAAAAGATATTAAAATACAAACTTATCTAAATATATTAATTTTAGTCCTTTTCGCATTTTCTATCTGTCTTGGCATTTAGTTAAAAACATGGAAAGACCACAAAACTTAAGTTATTAGGTTCTTTCTAGAATCTCTTATGACAACAGGCACCAAAGAAGGAAAACCAAGTACAGTCTGTCAATACCTAAAAAAAAAGTCAATTTAAATTACAATAGCATTAAAAAACAAAAAACTTGGCTGTTATAACAGGCTTGCATTACTCACTGCAAGATTTATTTTAGCTAGTTTAACACAGTAACTCCACACAATAGTATATACTGAGCAATTTAGTTTTGATAAGTATAATCGAAAAATGTGGCTAATCTTTGGAGAATTATAAGTTTTTGATACTTTTTTAAAAATTTGATTCTTTGTAAAAAAATCTAATAATAACTAATATTCATAAATTTTTTTAATAACCCAGTAACCACAAGACGCATTTTAGACACTTATAGACGTCTAAAACTAGTCTAGGTAAAAACGCACTTTTACAGACGTTTTAAAGACATCTTTTAGACGTCTTTTATGAAGGCGTTTTAAATTGACGTTTAAAAGGCGTCTTTTTAAAAGATAAAAAGACGTCTAGAAGACGTCAATTTTTAAAACATCTTCTAGACGTCTTTTATAAAAGCGTTTTTAAAATGACGTTTAAAAGGCGTCTATTTAAGCGTTAAAAAAACGTCTAGAAGATACCTTTTTTTAAGACATCTTTTATACGTCTTTAATAAATGCGATTTTAACATGACGTTTAAAATGCGTCTTTTTAAAGTTTAAAAATACGTTTAAAAGACGCGTAATAAATAGTCTAAAATACGCATTAAAAGACGTCTAGATCAAAGCTAAAAGACGTCTTTTCTGAGACCTGTTTATAAATATCCCAGTAAGCACAAAGACGTTTAAAAGACGTTTTAAAGATGTCTTTAAGGAGGTCTAAAAGGCGCACTTGTAGACGTCTAGATCATAAAGCTAAAAGACGTCTAAATGAAGATGTCTTTATAAAAACGCGTTTTAGACGTATGTTAGACGTTTTTTTCAAGATAAATTTAAGTACATGACGTAACATTTTCGCGTAGTATGTGGTATATATTTATTGTATTTATAACGTCATATATTGTTATAATTTCGTATTTACAAAATATACATAAGAACCAGCAATCAAAATAGTATTGCTGTAATCAACACCAACGGTTGATGCATTAAAGATGAAAATAATAAGTAACAATAACAAATATATATCAAAACAGTATTTAAATCATTTTTAACTTACCTATTGTTATAATAATATTTGACATACGTATGGAAAGCTAATTTTTGACCGCATACTTGACTTATTATATGGCTTGTGGGTGTATAAAAACTAAAAGTACTGATATTTAACTTATATATTATTCTTGCCATTTTCACTTATTATCATGATCAGTCAACTATCTATTAAAAAAGCAAAATAATTATTAATAAAAAAAAGATATATTATTATTATAGCAATTATTTTAGTGATTCCTGTGACAACAATTTTAGCAATTGTGTAAAAAAGTAATTTAATTTAAAGTAATTTACACTTAAAACTTGAACAAATTATTGAAAATAATAAAAACTATGTTTTTACTTTGAATATACAACATCTACTTAACGCGTAATGACAAAGCCGTCAAAAAGAAGTCATAATGACATATTTATAAACAGGTCTCAGAAAAGACGTCTTTTAGCTTTGATCTAGACGTCTTTTAATGGGTATTTTAGACTGTATATTACGCGTCTTTTGAACGTATTTTTAAACTTTAAAAAGACGCATTTTAAACGTCATGTTAAAATCGCATTTATTAAAGACGTCTAGAAGATGTCTTAAAAAAAGATATCTTCTAGACGTTTTTTTAACGCTTAAATAGACGCCTTTTAAACGTCATTTTAAAAACGCCTTTATAAAAGACGTCTAGAAGATGTCTTAAAAATTGACGTTTTCTAGACGTCTTTTTATCTTTTAAAAAGACGCCTTTTAAAGGTCATTTTAAAAACGCATTCATAAAAGCCGTCTAAAAGATGTCTTTAAAACGTCTATAAAAGTGCGTCTTTACCTAGACTAGTTTTAGACGTCTATAAGTGTCTAAAATGCGTCTTGTGCTTACTGGGATGTCATTATGACTTCTTTTTGACGGCTTTGTCATTACGCGGTAAGTAGATGTCGTATATTCAAAGTAAAAACATAGTTTTTATTATTTTCAATAATTTTTTCAAGTTTTAAGTGTAAATTACTTTAAATTAAATTACTTTTTTACACAGTTGCTAAAATTGTTGTCACAGGAATCACTAAAATAATTGCTATAATGTTAATATATCTTTTTTTTATTAATAATTATTTTGCTTTTTTAATAGATAGTTGACTGATCATGATAATAAGTGAAAATGGCAAGAATAATATATAAGTTAAATATCAGTACTTTTAGTTTTTATACACCCACAAGCCATATAATAAGTCAAGTATGCGGTCAAAAATTAGCTAGCAATACATATGCGAAATTTTATTATAACTAAAGGTAAGTTAAAAATGTTTTAATACTGTTTTGATATATATGTTATTGTTATTTATTATTTTCATCTTTGATGCATCAACCATTGGTGGTGATTACAGCAATATTATTTTGATTGCTGGTTCCTATGTATATTTTGTATAAACGAAAATATAACAATATATGATGTTATAAATACAATGAATATATACCACATACTACGCGAAAATGATACGTCATGTACTTGAATTTTTTCTTAAAAAAAACGTCTAACATACGTCCAAAACGCGTTTTTATAAAGACGTCTTCATTTAGACGTCTTTTAGCCTTATAATCTAGACGTCTACAAGTGCGCCTTTTAGACCTCCTTAAAGACATCTTTAAAACGTCTTTTAAACGCTTTTGTGCTTACTGGGAAGTGACTTTTTTTGTAAGTGACTTGTAAAACCTTTTTTCAACATGATCATCATTAATTATGAAAAAATCATAATTAGCAAAAAATATATAAGAATTTAGTATTAACAGCATGTTTCAGTAATGCTCCCTTGTATTAAAAAACTTCTATTAAAAAGAGAGGTAGATGATGTTTAAGATAAACTGTGTTAAAAAAAGTTAATAGGATTCAATCAACTATTATGAGTATAACTAAAGTTATAATTGTTCATGGGTTAGGGTTAGGGTTAATAACAAAAATAATATTTTAGCGTTAAATAGTTAAAGCATAACTAACCACAAAAATGGATAATTGTGGCTGTGTAACGCTACTAGTAAACAAATTGATATTTTTTCTATAAAACTTTAAGTAAAGAGCGTTAACTTTTATAAATCAGCGTAGTTTAAACAAACTAAAAAAATACAATTGGAGTCAAATTTAAATAAAACAAAAATATATTAAAAATAATTGCACAAAATAGTATATTGCTTTACGAAATGTCTCTTGTAAAACGATATATAACAAAAACGAAACAAATGGAATTAAAGCTGAGTAGGGGAGAGTGGGGTAATGACGAACAGCTAAGGAGGAATGCGAATTAAAAATAATTATTTTATATATATATATATATATATATATATATATATATATATATATATATATATATATATATATATATATATATATATATATATATATATATATATATATATAATATATATATATATATATATAAATATATATATATATAAATATAAATATATATATATATATATATATATTTGTATACATATATATATATATATATATATATATATATATATATATATATATATATATATATATATATATATATATATATATATATATATATATATGTATACAAATATATATATATATATATATATATATATATATATATATATATATATATATATATATATATATTATATATATATATATATATATATATATAAAATATATAAAATGAGAAAAAAAACTTTAGAAACATTTACAAATACATCATTTTTTTTGTAATATTTATTTAGTGACATACCTCGTAATCAATGCACATCATTTTTTTAAAACAAACGAACTAATGTTTTTTTTTTTTTTAATTGACCGTTTGTGATGCAAAGGCTTTGGAGATAAACATTAACTTTATCAAGTGATTGACCGTTATCAAAAGTTTGACCTTTGATTTGAGCATCGTCTTCTAGTTCTATAAAATAGAATTGACGAGTTATATACTTAAATTTCAATTAACATAGGGTTTAAATTATGTTTTTAATAAAATGCACGAAATAAATAAGTTACCTGACTTTTGAGGTTTTTATACTATTTTAAAAAAGACATAAGGTTTCATCAGTATTCATCGAATTATCTAATATATACGTTTTTGATCTTATTAGCGACTAAGCAGGTATTACCAGATTATAAAGATTTAAGAATACCTTATGACGTGGTAAAAAACATAAAGAGAGTTATTAAAAGGTGTGCTAAATCTACTTTTAAAACTCCATGTCAAACGCGCACTAATGAGTAACGGCAACAGCATTGAATTAAATATTAATTTTAAACAATTGCATCATTTAAATATAGATTAACAAAACTAAATATTTTGTTATAGATAAATAGTTTTTTTTATATAGTTAGTTGTTTTTTTTTGATTTTAGAAGCTTGTCCTAGCTCCGAATATGATAACGTAAAAAAATGCAAAAAATTAGTTGCTGAGTATATTCAAGCTAAAAGTATAGAAGTTGGAGAAAATTTGTTCTTAGACAACACTATTCAGACAACTAATGCTGATATTGCATATCATTGGCCACTGGAGAATGAAGATGATCAATTTGAGGAAGGAGAAGTTGTGGGATTTATTGCTGATATAAATGGGAAATACTCTGTAAGGAAGTTAAATTTACAAAACTGCTCTCAGGCAATTCTTAATGGTGTTATCAGTCGATCATATTACTTGCAAGCTCAAATTTCAACAGACGGAAGTGATTATATTTATTTTTTTTATTTATTTCATTTTATATTAATCTTTAAGTTTGTCATTTATTTATAATAAATACAATTATATTAATTTTTTATAAATATTATTTAAATACATTATATTTTAAGAACTTGTATATTTATTTTTATACTTTAGTTTCTTTATTTTTTGTTTAAACCTATGTATATCCTAATATGTAAATGGTTGTAACTAAAAGCCGGCCCGGTCTGGCCGGCCTAAGAACATAAAATTCGGCTCGACCCAAACTTTAAGCCGACTTTTTTTATTGCAAAAGAAATATGTTTTTTTTTTTTACTTTTTCAAATATTATTAAAAATCTAAAATTTTCAAATATTATTTAAAAATCTATAATTTTTTTTTCTTAGAAGTTATTTTTCTAACTACTCCCTTTTACATAATATGAAAAGGAAGTACTTAGTAAAAAAAAAATTATTTAGAATGTCTTTATCATAAAAGTGTACGGTTTTTATTGCATTATCTAAGAAGCAATGAGATAATTACGAAATCCATAGGTAGGCGTTAGGGTTTATTTAATATTTACTTTAACTTATTTTAACTGCATTTTCAAGGAAGTACTGAAATCAATAAAAAAAGGAAATTTGTTAGAGTACAAGAAAGACCAAACGAAGCCTACCGTTTACGCTAAGCTATATTTTGTGCGTAAGGAAATGCTAAGGTATAAACGAGGTACAAGAGTGTTTAGCAAACTTTATGAAAACCATATGTCTGAAAGATCGGATCAAACGTCAAAAGGAGGAAACGTTTTTGTATATCGATATCAAGTAAACGCCAATAAAGATACGCAATTTATCAAACTTGTTCTAGTTTTGTATTTTTTTTAAAAAGAATACTGAAATATAAAATATTTTTTTGCGTTAGTTTTAATATCACAATCTAATGAGATTTATTAAATTTTTTATAGCGCATTAATTTTTAATTTTCAGATGATTGGGTTGCATATGGTTATCGATCGATTAATAATGAGAATGGTCGACTTCTACAAAACGACAAAATTAACCTGTAATATATGAGCGGAAATCGCAAAAAACATCAGGATCAACCATGAAGTTTTGTCGTTTTTCTATTATAGCAATCGACTGGTCTAAATGTAGTGCAGTATGTCGGCGATGAATCAACTGTGTCATCGTTTCTACATGGTAATAGTAACAAAACACCTACTATAAGTTCTTACGAGCGTACAGCTCCTTCGGTATTAGCAAACCTTGCTTATGAATTTGTAGCATAAACCCTCACTCGTGCATTAAAAATTTGTAACAAAGGCATAAAATATCAATGCTATTCCTAAAAATATTAGGCAAGTGGATAAGTGTTAGAGAATGATTTGCCACAAGTCGAAAATTACCCAACGATAGCATCGCTAATTTATACAATATCGCGTTTGATCTCCAGATTTTGTTTGGTTAATAAAGACGTTTCTTGACTTAATTGTTGTTGCAGGGTGGAAAAATCTACTTTCTCTAAAGAACGAACTTTTACTAACTCATAAAAAAACTTATATGCAATAGTTGATATATGATACAATATTTAATTTTGGAGAATTTTATATTTCTGTTTTTCTAATGCAAGGAGTTTATTTTACAGAAAAACCTGTAATAGCAACAATGTTTATGATTCACAAATGAAAGTTAAAAAGTACTCACAAAACTTATGTTAATATTTTAAAAGAAAAATTACCGGCTTTAAAAGTAACCAATTTTGCACTGATAACTGATGGTGTAACACCATTTAATATTTTTGAAGATGTGATTGAAGATTTGTTAAAAGCAACCGTGTTCCTCGATCATACAAAAACACTTCTTCGTTGTCCAACAAATGCAGCCTACTTAAAGATGTATAATTCTAAAGTAACACTCAAGTTCAACTATTTTGAATATACAGAGTCAACTATTTCGAATATATTACAACAATACGGTCCATAAATATGTAGGTACTAAGGTCGCGTTGTATTGGAACGGCTAACTGTGTATGACAACAACTTGGGTGTAACACAAAAAAAATCGGAAGGTTTTAATACTGGAGTCAACTATTTCGAATATATTACAACAATACAGTCCATAAATATGTAGGTACTAAGGTCGCGTTATATTGGAACGGCTAACTGTGTATGACAACAACTTGGGTGTAACACAAAAAAAATCGGAAGGTTTTAATACTGTCATGCACAGTGTGCATGAATGGCAGGAGGTTCCTATTGGTATGAGAGTAGTCATTCTCTACCATTTTCAGTGCTGTTATTTCAACTCCGCCAACCTCGGATTTGGTGATCAAGGAAATAATCATCTGTTAAAAGACGTATTTCCTCATTTTGTCCTTGCGGGAGATAGCATTATTGTTGAAAAAGTTCTATCACCGGAAGAACTTGTTTCCGAAAGGGAACGGCAGATCAAGAAATTTATAAACTCTATAGTTAAAAAAGAAAAAAAAGTTTATTCTGTGTCTAAAAATGTTAGAACTTAAACTATTTTTGAAAATAGCGTGTCAATTCAATTTAATGCATCTATGAAAGATTTTTTGGTAAAATGAACCAGTAACGAAGTACATTTGGTTCGTCTAAATGGAATAAAAAACACATGTTCCTGTTAACCAGTAAAGTATGTGACCATATTAAAGCTGTGCAAAGTCTCGTTGCACTACAAACCTCTGAGAAGAAGTCTATAAACTTAACGCGGCTACTTCAAAACAATCGTATTGTCAAACAACGACTAAGAAGAAAACAATCACAAATCGGGGATTGTGATGTCTATGCGGTTCCTGATGCCAGGAGCGATGGTGAAAACAATGCAAAAAAAGAGATTGTCTTTTTTTGTTGTTGTTCTTTTTATTTATTCAAAATAAGTTTTACAACATAAGAATGAATAAGGAATAAGATTCATTAAAAACATATAGTAAAAGTTAAAAACTTTGTTAGCGTTAAAATAAGAAGAACGCGGATACTCGCAGAAGATCATGAGATCTTGTCATCGAGAACCGCCTAAACAGATTTAAAATAAAAAATAATCCTCTTAAAATTCATATATAAATATTCACACTTTAATAAAAATATAATTTTTTACACATTTAATTCTATAAAAACATAAAAATATATATACTTATATATATATAAGTTAAGAAAAAAGATTTCATATATATAAATTACGATAAAAAGATTTCTTAAGAGTATTAATATAAAACAAAATAAACTTAAAAATATATAAGTATGTTTTCAATTGAGAAAAGAATTTTTTTCAACTTTCTTTTAAATAAGAGAAAGCTGCATTCTTGAGAAAAATCAAAATGTTTTAATTCTACTTTGTTCCATAAAAATGCTCCTCTAAGTGAAATGCAAAACTTACCAAAATTAGTTTTGAAAACTGGTAGAAGAATAAAATTTTCATTACGCAAATTGTATTTATTTTTAACTTTTAAAGAATATAAATTGTGAAAAGAAATTGGAGATGTGCGTGTTATATATTTAAATATAAAACACAATACATTAAAAATATTAAGTTGATATATATTAAGAATATTCATTTCGTTTAAAAGAAGCTTAGCATGATAAAAACGATTTTTAAAATTAATAAGTCGTGCAACATGTTTCTGTTGGCGATAAAGTAGTTCTAATTTAGTTATGCTAACACTACCCCAAGCCGCATAAGCATAGTTTAGATGGCAATGAATAAAAGAGTGGTATAACTGAACTAAAATATGTCTATTTAGCATGTTTCTTATTTTGAATAGTATTCCTATACTTTTGGAAATTTTAGATGATAAGTTTTCAATGTGTTTTTTTCATGTCAGATTTGCATCAATAAAAACTCCTAAAAAATTTGTAGCCGTTACTCTTTTAATTTGCATGTCATCTATAGAAAGAGCAGGCAATTCACTCGGTAGAAGATACTTTTTGTAGCATGGATGAAAAAGAGACCATTTTGTTTTTTCAATATTAAGAGAAAGCTTGTTTAATTTAAACCATTCAGAAATTTTAATTAATTTTATGTTCATACTTTGAAATAGTGTCGCTATGTTGCTATGAGATAAAAAAAAAAGTTCGTGTCGTCAGCAAACATAATTGTCATTAAATTAGATGCTTCATAGAGATCGTTTATGTATATGACAAACAGTAGTGGTCCTAGGACAGACCCTTGGGAAACTCCGCATGTTATATCTAACAATTTTGATTTCGATGATACGTAATAGTGAATGTCTGCAACATTGACAGAGATTCCATAATATTTAAATTTTTTAAATAGAATTTTATGATCAATCGTATCGAAGGCTTTAGACAAGTCAATAAAAATGCCTAAAGTAAACTTGGAATTTTCAAATGATTCAGTAATATTTTGTGTTATTTGAAGTATAGCGTGTTCAGTGGAGTTATTTTTTTTAAATCCATATTGATTTTTGTATAGGATATTATTTTGAGAAAGATGATTCAAAATTTTATTATAAAGAATTCTCTCTATAATTTTTGAGAAAACAGAGAGAACAGATATTGGACGAAAATTACTAACATTAAGTAAGTCTCCACCTTTAAATATTGGTGAAACTCTAGCTATTTTTAATTCATCAGGAAAAATTCCTTGTTGAATTGAACATTTAAATATTTTAAAATGGATATTTTTTTATGATATCATAGGAATAAATAACAATATTTCCATTGATATCATCAGGACCGACTGCTATATTTTGCTTTTGCATTTTAAAAGCTCTATCAAATCCATCAAAAGACAATTCAAAAGAATTTAGACAAGATACTAAAGGAAAACCACATCTGTTTATTATTTTATTTATATTAGAAATTTTCTTTGCTAAATTTGGTTCAACTGAAGTAAAGAATTCATTCATTTTATTTAATTTCGGATCATAAAATATTTTATTATCAATTTTAATAGTTCTAGGTAGAGAGCTAGCTATCAATTTCTTACTGCCTGTAATTTCCCTTATAATTTGCCATGTTTGCTTTGAATTCTCTTTATACTTTTCTAGTAAATTTATATAGTATCTTTTTGTTAAATTTTTTCTTTGGATTTCAAATTTTCTAGCGTAATTCTTATAAATTGTCTTACTTTCTAATGTTCTCGTTTTTAAATACTTTATATACAACTTTTGCTTAACTTTAGAACTTTTTCTGAGACCTTTTGTAATCCATGGTGACGTGAAATCTTTATTTTTTTTTAGTATTTTATGTTGAGGAAAATTAGTATCATAAATTTCGAAAAATGTTTTTTAAAACGAATTATAGGCTAAATTAGCATCATTAGAATCTATGTGTTTCCAATGAAGTAAAGATAATTGTTTCTTAAAAGCAATGCAATTCGCTTCCGTAAAAAAACGTTAAATGAAAAGTTTATTTTGGTGTAGAACTTTTTTGATATTTTGATAAATTATAAATAGTTCAATACGAATGTATCACATATGGAAAATATTACTTCAACGGAATGTTTGGACGTTGAAGCACAAGTCGTTGGACTGCTACCCCAAGATTTTTATTTTAAAATTTGTTATTGGTAATTGCACAAATAACAGTAAAGATTTAGCAACACTAAGCTCAGATCTTAAACAAGGCTAAAAAACGCAACTTTATTTATGTCCTAACTTCTTTTTAGGCTCAACGATGGCACGAACCATCATTGAGCCAAAAAAAACCTTGATGGTTGGCTTTATAAAAAAGTTTATCTATGCAAGTTCAACTGGATTCTTTTACCCCATCACGTTAACAACAACCACTGGACACTCTTAATTGCCAACACTCGTGATAAAACAGTTGGAATTATGGATTCTCTTAATGGAGATAATACTTCGAAGCCTGATACGCTTGTTAGATATATGAAATTATGTTTGTGAGATATATGATATTACGGCCTTCTGTAACTAATAAGTATGGAATATGGGAAAAAAATTTCTTTTAATGTACTTCAACAACTCGATGGAAATAGTTGTGGAGTTTTTACACTAATGTTTATAGAAGCTGTTACCAACAATGTAAAAAATAATATTGCAGATCTGTCAGCTGTAGCCTTATACCGTCAATACATTCGTGCTAAACTTGTATAACGCATGTGCGCTATCATCGATAAAAAATATATATGTGACATCCCATTTTGTGTTAAACCCCGTGGTGCTCTTTTAAAATGGTTTCTATGCAATCAGTGAATTCGTTGGTCTCATATTGTTTGCGCACCGTGTCAGTCAACTTAAACGACGTTTTCATGTAGCCAATGCATATGAACAAAAAAATGTTATGCTAATGGTTCATGTTGTTTAAAACTTTCTTTAATATTGTGTATTTAAAACTTTATCTATGTATTTAAATCTCTCTTTATTATTGTGAAAAAAACTAAATTTTTTTCACAATAAAAATAAATATTTTATTACTTGTAAACTTTGTTAATATTTATATTAGTTTGTTTCCTTATTTAATAAAATAAGAATTTTACCCTGGCCGGGTTATAATATTTTTGGGTCGGACTGGCTTCGGTCGGGCCAACTTTTTGGTACAACCTATGTAAATGTATGTATTATAGGATAACCAAAAAAAGCATAATACATTTTTTTTTTTTAGAAATTAAACATGATTATGTACCCTTTTTAAACAGTTCCATCAAAAACAAAAATAAATTACTTTTAATATGTAGAAAACAGCTACAAATAAAAACTATGTTTTAATTCAAAAATAAACTTTTGTGAAAACCAAACATTTTCAAAATCATTTTGAAGGAAATACAATTTTTAACGTTTTGTTAAAACTGCATATTTTGTATCAGATACATTTAGAAAAATATTAACGTTCTTTAAACGTTTTATAAACAATGTATACTTACTGGGATATGTTCAAAAAATCTCTGCATTTGAATAATATATGTAAAATATGTGGCATCTTTTTAAAAAAAAATGTTCTTAAACAACTAATAAATTATTTTGGCCTTGATCTTCATTGCTGGATGTATTAACTCAATTTCTTGATTAAGACCTATAAATTTGACTAGACAATCAATAGTAACAAACCTAACTTCAAAGCTACAAAAGTCTTTATAAGGTGCAAGTTCATGAAAGTCTCCTCTATCTGATACAACTCCCTTACAACATTAGTTGTATTAACAAAAATTAAAAACAATAAATCCTTATAAGATGGTCGTGGAAATCCATTATCTTAAAATGTCATAAAATCGATTTTTTTTTTTGTATTTTGTTTTTATCGGAAGTTAATATTATTCTCAATTGTTTAAAATAAAAGTAAGTTAAACAAATTTCATTAAATAAATTAACTTAAAAATCATTACTTTAAAAATATACTTGTGTTTTAGGGCGGAGTGAAGCTATATGTATGATGGGTATTGTGCCAGTCCAAGTTAAAGGATCTGTTTGCATCAATGATGCATTATATGCATCTCCAGATTTTCCTGGATTCGCTGTAAGTAGTTACAATCTCGATATCAGTTTGCATCAAAGTAAAGGTCATATCGGATATGCATTTTCTACATATAATCCTGAGGATAAGAAAGCAGTATGTATTTAACATTGAGTTTTTTTTTCAATTTAACTGTGATTTAATTATCTAATTACCATACCGAAATAACCATCTGAAGGGAAGGAATATGAGGTTCCAGTACATATATTAATTAAAAAAATTAAGTTTCGACTTAATTTTTATATTGTATATATATATATATATATATATATATATATATATATATATATATATATATATATATATATATATATATATATATATATATATATATATATATATATATATATATATATATATATATATATATATATATATATATATATATGTATACATATATATACTCTTGCATGGTAGTCAAAAAGAGTTTCCCATAAACTGTTGTTTTAAAAAGCGCGTTAATAAACCAGAAAAAGTTTAAAAAATTAAATTTTTTTTACAAAATGATTGACTGCCTGCCCAAACCAAACCCTCATTCAAAGTAGCAGCACTCCCTTGCGAGTCAGGCTATTTTTCAGTTGTTGTAGCAGCACTCCCTTGCAAGTCAGGCTATATGTCAGTCGATGTAGCAGCACTCCCTTGCGAGTCAGGCTATTTGTCAGTCGATGTAGCAGCACTCCGTTGCGAGTCAGTCTATAAGATAGTCGATGTAGAAACACTCCCTTATAGCAGCAGGCTATAAGATAGTCGATGTAGCATTATTTACGCATGTTTTAAAAATGTTTTTTAATAAAACAAAAACAAAAACACCACTAATTAAAAAAGACTTTCTAGTCGTTATTAACTTTCTAGTCGTTATTAACGAAAAAAAAAGTTCTAGAAAGAACTTTTATTTTGGATAGATTGGTTTTTAACAACAACGACGCAGAATGAGAGAAGCCAAAATATAAAACTTAAAATAAAATTACAAAACGAAGAGCAAAAACAATAAACCAGACAGTCTTTTAAAAAAGTTTTAAATAATTAATGTAAATAAAATTTATTTTAATTTAAAAAAAAAAAATTAAAGTTAAAAAAAAATAAATAAAGGTAACTATAATATTATTACTTTTCATAACCACAACAGCCGTTTATTTTATTTTATTTAATATAGCGAATTTAGTAGGGTGATTCAAAAGCACACTTTTAAATTTAAAATTATATGGTCAATTGTGAAGTGTCTTGATGTTATTTCATCATATAGATGAAATAAAATAGAATTCTTTTTTTTCAGTAAATTTCAATTTCTTTATTTATTTCAATTTTTCAAAAATTTTAAGTAGAAAAATTAACAAAAGTGTAAATCAAATATTTAAACAACAAGAGTCCAATCATCTAATTTAAATTAGGCTCGTAGCAAGCTTTTTGCTTTTTTTTTGAGAACTTAACTTTGTATAACGAAATGGAGCAAAATCGAAACATTTATATGTTCATGTTTTTGTAAAGCCTTTCAAAAGTATTGCGATATTTGGAATCTGTTAAAATTAAATCACTCAAATGTTTACCTCCCTACTATGCCATTAGCGTGAGAGCGACGAATTTATAACATTTAAATATACATTTTTTTTTTACCTTTTAAACTAAATTTAAGTTCATTAACATATTTTTAATGTCAAACAATAATTTCTTAGTGTTACCATACAAATTTCGAGTAACCTTCCCAAATACATAGGGGATATATTATCTTTAATTAGGGAATATTATTGTTAAATATAAGTTCGTCTGACAATCAAATTCTGTTGCTCATTCAAAAGTTCGGAGCGAAGTTATTTTAACTCATTTTTCGTGAATAAGTAATCAAATGACAAATAAGTAATCAAATTTCGTGAGTAAGTAATCAAATGGCTTATTCATTAAAGTTTGTCAAAGAATAACGAAGAAAATTTGTTTTTTATAAGTGGCAATGATCTGCAAGATCATTCTGATTTTTTAAACAATAATATCAAATTCATTTTTTTTTTTAATTAATTTGGTCATTGATTATTGTTTTTTTTTTTTTTTTATTAAATAAAGACATTATATAATGCATTGGGTAATTTTTAATTTTTATAATTTTTTTTTTTTCTAAATATGCCGCTGCAATTAATTACTTTTTTTTTGTAAAATATACAAATGGTGGGGGCCAGAAGAAGAGAAATATAGTCTTAATATAGTCCTTCGCCGTTTGATAAAATTTACAATAAGAAAGATCGTACATATATAATATATGGCCGGAGCAAGAAGAAGACGTATATTGTCTTATCGCCAAGCCCCGTTTTGTTGCCTTTGTTTATGTAACAACTTAAAAATTACAAAATACAACACAATATATTAAAATTAGTAAATCGTATAATAAGATATATAAATAAACATTTTTTTTAGTTAGGGTTAGGGTTAGGGTTAGGGTTAAGATCAAGGCCAAAATATTTTATTAGTTGTTTAATTTTTTTTTCTTAAAAAGATGCCACATATTTTATATATATTATTCAAATGCAGAGATTTTTTAAACAAATCTCAGTAAGTACACATTGTTTATAAAACGTTTAAAGAACGTTAATATTTTTTTCATAAATTTTTTAAACATTTTAAAAACATTCTGTGCTTACTGGGTTGTTATATATATACATACATACATATATATATATATATATATATATATATATATATATATATATATATATATATATATATATATATATATATATATATATATATATATATATATATATATATATATATATATATATATATATATATATATATATATATATATTATAAATATATATATATATATATATGTATATATATATATATATATATATATATATATATATATATATATATATATATATATATATATATATATATATATATATATATATATATATATATATATATATATATATATATATATATATATACATATATATTATTTATAGATAAGAAATAAATCAAGACAAAAATAAAAGAGTCGTGATGACTTTTTCAGTTTTATTATTTTAGGTACTATTTTACAAAGAGATTTTTAAAATCGAAGCTTTTTCCTAATAGAAAACATTTAGATTCTTTTTTGAATTGTTCTAGGGAGAAGTTTAGAAGAGTTTTATTTTTAAAAATGTTTGTCAAAAAACTTTTCCATATAAATGGTCCACGATATTGAATTTGAAATGAGCTGAGTTTTAAATAAGATTTAATTTTAAAGTAATTTATTACGAGTGGTATTGCGTAGTAATATCAAAAGCAATGTAAAAAGATTTTATAATATGAAAATGTGGCTATTCATTTATCACTAAACCGATTAGATATACTTAATCAACAGCATTTCTCAACTGATAGTATTATTATAAATTACAAACAAAGTCTTTTAATGTGATGTTGAAAATCACATTAAAATCATTTAAAGACTTTATGAATATCTAATAGTATAATGATGTCTATTTGCGTAAACTTTGAGGGTTCTAGAAAAAAATCCACCGGGAAAAATCCCCCCGGAAAAAATCCCCTGAAATAATCCCCAGAGAAAAAATCCCCCCGAGAAAAAATCCCCCCGGAAAAAATCCCTCTGAGAAAAAATCTCCCCGAAAAATATCCCCCAATAAATTTTTTTTTTTTTACTTGAAAATTGTCAGTATGCAGTTATGTTTATTTCTTTATTTATTTTAAATATTTATATAAGCAGTAAGATAGTCGATGTAGCAACACTCCGCAGTGTTCTTTATTTAAAATATTTTTTTTTTTTTTTTACTTGAAAATTGTCAATATGCAGTTATGTTTATTTCTTTATTTATTTTAAATATTTATATAAAATACTTCATTTTTCATCAAAATGTCAAGATATGCGCTATTCCTCAAAGGTAGCGAATTTGAAACCCTAACCCTGACGAACTGCGAACTGGTAAAATGTGAACTATTTTACGAACCATCGTAGTTAATTTAGCGCTAAAATTTAAGGACTTTTAAGCGGAAAAATAATTTAAGAAAAAATAAAATGAAATTAAGTAAAACTAGATGAAAACAATATTAAAATAGATACATTTTTTTTTGATAATTTGATAGACTGCCTGCCTAACCCAAAGCCTCAGTCGATGTAGCAGCACTCCGTTGCGAGTCAGACAGAGCGAGTAAGATAGTCGATGTTGAAAATTTTATTTTAAATAAAGAACACTCCGCAGTGTTCTTTATTTAAAATAAAATTTTCATTTTTTAATTTTCACTTAAAAAATAAAAATTTTCTTTAAATAAAGCTTTAAAATAGAATATTAGGAACTGGAGAGATTTTTTTATTTTTAATTTGACTAACATCCGAGGAGTAGCGCATAACTTTAAATTTTGATGAAAGTTGAAGTATTTTATAAAACTATATAAAGTAAATAAATATAACTATTTTGTTGATAGTTTTTATGTAAAAAAAAAAAAAAAATTTTGAGGATATATTTTTCTGGAGGGTTTTTTCTCGAAGGGATTTTTCTGGGGAGATTTTTTCCAGGGGGATTTTTTCCCAGGGGATTTTTTCCTGCTACCAGTTATGAGATGTATTATCTATATAACTAAGAAAAACCAAGATTTTGGTTAACATACATACTTTTGTTAAAGAAAAGATATTTAAGTGCCACACTTAATTACGCTCTTATAAATATCACATTAGAATGTTTAAGAAAAGACTGAAACAACCACCTCACTTGGTTGGGGTGTAAACTTTGTTTTATCATAACCTTTGAATTTTTAGTTTTAACACCTGTCAACTTAAATTTAGTGTTAGAAAATAAAAAAATAAAAATTACTAGTTTGTTGTCCTCTTATTTGGAGTAGGGATGGTAGATGTTAAAGGGTGTTTTTGTTTCCAGTCTCTAATCGACGCACGTTTTAATTCTTAATGTACGCATAAATAATTGCTTAAATATAGGTCGGGTTATTTGTATATTACACAGTGGCATAGCAAAATACTTTTAATAAGAAATAGGCACACGTAGCTTAGGTGACTAATTTCTGTTTCTCTCGAAATATAATTTTGAATAAAAATTTCAAAATTCTTTAAATACATCTTCAGGCTGCTAACTCTTGTGGCCCTGGACCTAGTT